ACTGAGTCACCCAAGTGCCCCCAGCCCAAGTTTTTATTTTCAGTCTCATTTGGGTCTTTCCCATGCTTCTTTACAATTTCCCACTTCCCCCAGCACTAGTTTCAAACATTTATCATATCAAGTTCCCAGTTTACGCTATTCCACTTCCTCTCCTCTCAGATGACCTAGCCTCCTACTTTGCCAAGGACACCAAGAGTTATAAACTCCTTCAATGTCCCTCCCCTCCACCTCCAAAATGATTCCCCCAGCTCTAACTTGGAAAAAGGTTTGCCAGCTCTTCCTCACTTCGTCCCTCTCTCCACAAGCAACATTCCATCATTTTGTTCCCATCTTTCTTCTTACTCTCTTCTGCTTACAAACATATTCAAATCATCTAACCCAAAAAATTCTTCCCCCAATCCTGATTCACAGTCAAGTAACCAATTTCTCATTTACTAACTTCTGGAAGTATGGTTTATACTGGTTGTCTTGGCACCCAAACCTCCCACTATTTTAAACTCCCAAAACGAAAATCAACAAGACCCTTTCAACTGCCAAATCCAACAGCATCTTTTCAGTTCTCGTATCACTTACGTTCAAAATAACTGTGTCCTTGGTTGGTTTGTATTGCATGACTTTCCTGATTTCCCTACTATCTTTCCAAGTATTCTCTCTTATTGTCTCCTTCTGAATCCTCTTTCTTTGTCACCTCTGATAGACTCTCAAAGATCTCCTGTGGGAACATTACCCAGTTTGATAATTCACATACACTTATATTTGATGACTCTCAAATCACTATCTCCATCCCCCATCACCCATCTGACCCCAATCTCTTGTTTTGTTCCTATAGACGACAACTCCCAGATACCACAGACTAAAATTTGGCATCAAAAAACAAAAAGAGAAAAATCACAAACTTCTCTCTAATCAATCACATACATTCCATCCAGAGAATGGCACATAGTGACCACAGTGAGTAACTGCCTTCTAACAGAAATGAAATAAAGGTAGTATATAAACCCTTACCAAGTATTTCTATCTTTTTAAGTTCCTCTATTAACCAATCACTAGTTCTTCTGGTACAAAACTAAATTACATCTTCCCATAAAAACCTGTTCCTCTTCCTTTTTATTATTATGAAACATTTATTCCTAGGAAATACTAAAACCTCAGAATCACCTTATGTTTCTCTGGCTTCCCTCACTTCCAACTGATATATACCTTTAAAAATGTCTTTCAAATCTAAGCAGCTTGTTTTGAAATGCATTCAGAAAGTAAGATAGATAAGGGTAGGCTGGTTCAGTTGGAAGAGCATGTGACTTCTTGATCTTGGTGTTGTGAGTTTCAGCCCCACATTGGGTATAGAGATTAATGTAAAAAAAAAAAATTAACTTAAAAAAGATAGATGTAAAAAAAAAAAAAAGTAAGACAGATGTGATGAAGCAAATATAATAAATGCTAATTACACAATTTAGGTGGTAGCTATACAGGTATTCACTGTGTAGTTCTTTCAACTGTTCTATATGCTTGAAAATTTTTATAGTAAAATGTTGAAAAAAAAACCTGTATATATTCAGACATTGTTCAAATGCTTGCCTTTACCTCTCTTCTGAACTATTCTGAGCATAACTGAGCTCTCTTTTTCCCCAGTCCTTCCCACTGTAATCATCCAAGATGGCCCCCAATGAGCCCTGCCGGCTATTATTTGCACTTTTGTGGTAACATGTAGATCACTTAGGGATCTTGTTAAACATGCACTGTTAAATCTTGTTAAAATATACATTCTGATTTTGGAGAGCAGGAACAGAGCCTGATACACATGGTCTCCAACAAGCTCCTAAGTGATGCAGATGCTGCTAATTGAGGGACCAAAGTATGGTGCTGTGAGTAGAGCTAACAGAGTAAGAAAAGAAAGAAAACAGGGAGAGTTAGATTTCCATTTTCTTCCCCTGCCATGTTTAAATATGTTAACATAGAGTTAAGTCTTCGTAGTGGTTCAGAGCAATTTCACCTTAATCAATTCAGTTCTACAGAGCAGTGTTTCTCAAACATGAACATGCAGATGAGTCACCTGGGATCTTACTAAACTGAAGCATTAAGTCTGAGCAGGAGAGATTCTGCATTTCAAACAACTTCCAGGGCACACTGAAGTTTCTGGTCCAAGGACCACACTTTTTGGGTAGTAAGGTTCTAAACATCTCCTATGCCTTTTTTTTTTTTTTTTTTTAGTTTGACACATTTGATTATATTAAAATGTCAAATCTATTATATGTCAAAACCATATGAAGCTAGAAGACAACGAATTTGGAAAACACATTTGTGACATGCATACGTTTTGTATTAATTTTCTATTGCTGCATAAGAAATTGCCATCCTATACCTTTCAAGTTTCAGAAACACTAACCTGAAAGATAAAATCTTGAAATGGTTTACAAATGCTCGTAACACATTCCAGCTTTATCTCCAATCACTCCTACTCCAGCACCACCACCCACCTACACAATGTGCACACCTATACTCTAACCATATCTTACAACACCCTACACGAGTCTAAAATCTTAACTTCTCTAATCTTGCCCAGAAAACACACTCTCGTTTTAAGAATACTGCAAGTCCAAGTAGAAGACATCAGTTTATCATTCCTTTCCTCTTTCCCTCCCATTGATCTTTGGTATAGTTTGCCTACTTATAGGCCAAGCATTTTGTCACTCTAATCTACCATGGAATAAAAGTTCCACAGCCCAGTTATTCCAGATTTATATACACAAATATAACCCTTCTTCACAATTAATCTCTCAATACATGTTGTTTCTCATATAATTGTTTAAAAGATATGTTTAAAGATAGTTTAAAAGACTATCTTAGCATAAAACCCATCCCTTTTTTTTTTTTAGATTTTATTTTTATTTATTCATTTGAAAGAGAGAGACGAGAGTGCGAGCAGGGGGAGGAGCAGAGGGAGAGGGACATGCAGACTCCACACTGAGAGCAGAGTCTGAGGTGGGGCTCGATCTCAGGATCCTGAGAACAGAACCTGAGCTGAAATCAAGAGTCAGACACCTTAACTGAGCAACCCAGGTGCCCCAAAACCACCCCTTTAAAGTGTACAATTCAAAGGTTTTCAATACATTCAAAGTTGTGCAATCATCATCACTAATTCCAGAATATTCTCATCACCCCAAAAATAAACCCCATACACTTTACCATCATCTCAAAGTCCCCAGTCCCCCAGCCCCTGGCAACCACTATTCTGGACATTTCACATAAATAGACTCATACAATATGGGATCTTTCTATCTTTGTTCATGTAGCATGATGTTTTCAAGGTTCATCCATTTTGTAGAATGTTTCAATACTTCATTTCCTTCCTACAGCTAAATAATTTCATTGCATCAATGTACCATATTTTATCTATTCATCAACTGATGGCCATTTGGGTTATTTCCACTTTTTGGCTACTTTGAACAATGTTGCCATGAACATGCTTGTTCATAAAAACATGCAAGTTTTTATGTAGACATGTTTTGGTTGTCTTGGGTACATATCTAAAAGCAAACTTGCTGAGTAATATACTAACTCAACACAGAGCTAGTATATTACATGTAGTTAGAGATTAATTATGAAGAAGGGTTATATTTGTGTGTGTGTAACGTTCTAAGGAACTGCCAAACTATCTTCCAAAGCACTGAACCATTTTACATCCCCACCAGCAATGTATATGGGTATCTCCCTACTACATTTTCAACCCATGAGGATATTAAAATCGCTGAACGGAAAGAGAGGTATGCCCCCCCCCACTTCGATTGTATAATAATTCACTACTCGGAATACTGAATTAACAAAAGAAAAGTACAGTTCTGGCAGGAAGTCAAGAAATAAAATGTTATAAGTCCAAGTGTACAGGTTTCCCCTGCAATCTGAAAGCAAAACATTCCCCTATGAAATCTTTTGCAAGCCAAAATGGCATAAAAGGAAAAAAGCAATTACCATTACTTTTCATGTAAAATGTTTTAGCATTCCCAGGCCTCCAAAATAATCTTCCTTACACTTTTCTGCTACCTTAGGACATATCTTGCCAATGGATGCACAAAATAAATAGAAATAAAGCGCCGAGGCTCACAAACACAGTTCAAAGCACTGTGATGCTGAGATGCTGAGTGCAGTACCCAGGGAAGGAGCGTGGCGGCGCCACTCTCACTGCCCAGCTGCGCACCGCCTCTACAACTGCTTGCTGCAAAGCAAACGCTGAAGCTATTTTCGCTTTTCACCTTTTTACTAAAAGAAAAACTCCTCTTCAGATTTCTTTCATTTAGCAAAAAGAGACACTAATGTAGGTCTTTCCTAAAAAAACGAAGTGGCAATAAAGGTGGACCTTCAAAAAGCCAGGGGTATCTCTGCTGACCAAGTGAGTTAACCTCTCAGAGCCAACTATTAAATCATAAAATAGGGAGGCTGTAATGACAATTACGTTGCAGCCGCAACGTAATTTAACAATCCAAGTAAAGGTGAGCATTGGTGATTCAATCCTGGGCAGAGCATTAGGGGCAAAGGGCTAAATGCCCTCCTCTTCCTTCTCGGTTCCTTCCCGTAGGGAGGGGTTGCTGAGTGACAGCGGGGGCTGCAGCCACCTCCCTTCTCGGGGAGAGCCGGCCATATGAGCCACGCAGGATAAATTGTTAGAGCTCAAAAAGCTTGGCCGGGTCACTCCAGCCCAACCTCAATCCAAGGCGAGAGATTCCGCAGCTTGCTACTTAGCTTAGCAAGTCAGCGCAGGATCTTTCTTCCTTTTCTAATAGTAACAGACCCATTTATTAGGGTCGAAGCAGAAAAGGAGGCACGAAGAGAACACAAGCATATCCCCTCCAGCCACAAATCCAGTCCGTCTCTCCAACCTCGCATAAGGAAAACAAATATGAAACCCGATCCATTACGAACTCTGGAGGTTTATCAATCCCCATGGCCCTCACCCTCCAAACACTCCCCTTATCGGAACCCCCCGGGATAGACAGCGCAAAGCTTACCTGGTGGTTTCCTCCAGCTCGACCCGTTTCTGACCAGGCGCCCGCAGAGGCATAGTAGCCATCGCCTCCTGCGCCTTCTCCCGGCCAGGTGGTCTCAGCAGGGCCGCCCCCGCGCACCCGCCAGGAAATGGGAGGCTGGGGAGGTTCGGGGCGAGGAGGATACAAGGGCGGAGGTGGGTGCATGGGCACATCTCCACCTCCCGGCCCGTAGAAGCGGCCATACGAAGGACCGTCACTGGGGCCGTAGCCCGAGCGCCTCAAGGCCGACATGGGCTCTACTGCCCCGTAGCGCTTCCCGCCCCCCACGGCCAGTCCTCAGCGCAGGCGCCAGCCAAGGAAAGGAACTGGGCAGCAGCGAAAGGGGTCGGACGACAACAGCCAATCCCAAGCCCGGTCCCGCCCCTTCGGCTGAAGGACGGAGTTCCGTGACTCGGAGGTCTGGGAAACAAGAAGACGCGCGGGAGCACCGTGTTTCTTAAAAGGGAGAACACATTTTCCTTACCATCTAGTCAATCTAGATTCCTCTTCCCCTTTTATCAGGGATGGGGAATGGGTGTCCCGGGACCGCACGACAGCCCCGCCTCTTCCTGAGGATGGGCACGTGATACCGGAAGTGGGTGGGAATAATATGGAGGCGTTTCCGGCAGGCCCCGGCTGCTGAAAGCCGGGGCAGACGTGCTGCTCCCGGTCCGGGTTCCTGTCCCCGTCCCGCCCAGGCGGCGACTGTGGTCTGAGAAAGGAGGTGTCGGACGCGCTGGCCCACCGCCGCTGTACACTGCAGCCTTATCTCAGCTCAAAATGAACTATATGCCTGGCACCGCCAGCCTCATAGAGGACATCGACAGTGAGTAGCTCATCTCCTCTGGATGAAGTCTGGGGTGAGATCCTTCCTCCTGGGCGGGTACCTGTTCAAGAGGAGCTTGTAGAATTGAGTCTGGGGCGGGCGGGGGGCTGTTTTTAGCACACTTAAGGGTGTTCGGCTTTGACATCCTCCACGTGAGTGAAGAGCCACAAGACACTCCGTTTGCCTACCTTTTAGCCGACTACCTCTATCCTGCGTCTCGCAGCCTCCACTGGTCCCCGGGCCGATAAGCCACAAGCTGTAGAATTCATTCCTGCTTTGGAGGGACGCGGCTGCTAATACTCAAACTTGAGAGTTGCCCCTCCCCACGTCCACTATCTCCCACCTGCAGTATATCGACGCCTGGTTGTTACTCGTGGATGAATGAGAATACTTAAAGAAATGGTTCATTAAGGAACGAAAATTTTCAGATAACAGCTTTTGGACTTAATTGGCAGTAAACATAGGTTTTATGCCATGTAGCCATTTGCGATGCAGTCTTTAGCACTTTTAGGTTATGATGATAGAGATCACTGCCAGACAAAGATACTGACTTTTCTGGAAAGGCTGAATCACTTCAAACCTATTTTTCTGTTCGACAGTTTTCTTTTACTTGTACTAAGAAGACCTCCCTTTTTCCTGGTCATTGTCCTGAAGAAGCGTTCAGTCCTGTACAAAAGAAAGACTCCTGTCTTTCCTTTTTCTAAACTCTCATCTGTGAATTATTCCTCAAGCAACATTTTCTAATCCTTTTAATCCTGTGGTCTGTCTCATTAACTTCTAATTGCTGTAGAATGGTTTACACAGTTCCAAACAAGTTACAACAATCACAGTTACTATGTCTACAAATTTAAAAAGTGAGTCCCGTGGGGCACCTGGCTGGATCACACAGGGCATGCAGGACTCTTGATCTCTGCATTGTGAGTTCAGCCCTTGGGTGTAGGGATTACTTAAAAATAAAATCCTCTAAAAAATAATAAAAAGCGGGCACCTGGGTGGCCCAGTTGGTTAAGCGGCTGCCTTTGGCTCCGGTTATGATCTCAGGGTCTTGGGATCAAGTCCCACATCTGGTGCCCTGCTATGCAGGAAGTCTGCTTTCCCCTCTCCCTGCTGCTCCCCCTGCTTGTACAGCCTGTCTCTGTGTCAAATACATAAAATCTTTAAAAATAATAGTAATAATAAAAAGCGAGTCTGTGATCATATTCTTTTTCTCATTGTCTGAAATCATTCTTTAAATCCAAATTAATTATTTTGCTATTGAAAGAAAATGTAGTGTGAATTGGACTATATTTGTATATGAATAACAGTTGCACAAGCCCATCTGTAATATGGTTTGTTTTTTGTTTTTTTTTTTTAAGATTTTATTTATTTATTTATTTATTTGACCGGCAGAGATCACAAGTAGGCAGAGAGACAAGCAGAGAGAGAGGAGGAAGCAGGCTCCCTGCTGAGCAGAGAGCCCAATGCGGGGCTCCATCCCAGGACCCTGAGATCATGACCTGAGCCAAAGGCAGAGGCTTTAACCCATTGAGCCAACCAGGCGCCCCATCTGTAATATGTTATGAAATCTTCACTTTTAGTCATCTATGGATGCCATTTTTGCCCCCACCTCTCATTTTATGTATCTGAACTATGTGAGGCCCCTAATACATTCTGCCAGTCTACTAAAAATAATTTTTATTCTCAAACCCTCTAACCACTTCTTTGTAGACTCCAAGACTCCTTTACTGAAAAGTTTGAAACCATTTCTTATGCACCCTTCGCGGTCCCCCCAGCCACACAAACTATTTCCTCTTTTCAGTCTTTTTGCATATTCACCCATCCTCTCATCTGAGTAGGAAGTATTCCTCCCTTTCAGTCTGTGTCCTTTATTACTCTTTCTTCCCACTATTTCTTCCATTAATGCCCTTTTTCTCTCATATCGTCTCTCTCTCCCTGGATCCTTCCCTTCATTCTTGTCCATCCTTCTCGTACTTTTTTCAGTTATGTCTCCTCATCAAACTCCTATCCCGTTTTCATATATTCACTACCAAACCTTTTGAATCCTCTCCATTTTGACTCTACTTCCTGACCATCTATAGTAGACCTCCTCTGTTACTCCCGCAGTCTGAGTTTTGTTGTCATCACACTGCTGAAGCTGCATTCTTAAAACGCAGAAGTTTGATGCATTCTTCTGGGTTCTTCCCTGTCCTCTGCAATATTGCGATACTAGTAACACTGGATTCGTAATTCTGCTTTCTTGACTTCTGCAGCACTGGACTTGCTGATTTTCTCACCTATCCTGCTCACTGTTCCCTAAAATAGGTGGCTCCTTGGGTCCTAACTTTGGTCTGCCTCTTTTTTTAAGATATATTTATTTAAGAGAGCATGTATGGGGTGGGGGCAGAGGGAGAGAGAGAATCCCAAGCAGACTCCCGTCTGAGCACGAAGCTCAATCCCAGGACCCCGAGATCATGATGTGGGGTAAAATCAAGAGCCGGCCACTCAACCAGCTGAGCCACCCAGGTACTCCATGCTTCTTTCTTTAAATCTCTAGGAGAGCTTCATGGAATTTAATAATTATATCACCTGTTCGTGGACTTATCCAAAATTGCTTTCATTCTGACCTCTTTGACATTCCAGTCTTATATTTCCAACTGCTTGTTGGCAGTGACCTGATCAGCACTTCAGAATCACAAATAGCTAATATCTTCCACCTTAAGCTTCTTTTATTGCCAACTTCTGGTACATCATCCACCCTGACATGATGACTCAAAATTCCTACATGTGGGGGCGCCTAGGTCATGCAGTCAGTTAAGCATCTGACTCTTGGTTTCAGCTCAGATCATGATCTCAGGGTCACGAGATAGAGCCATATTGGGCTCCATGCAGAGTCTGCTTAGAATTTCTCTCTCCTTCTACAGTACACGCCCCCACATTTGCGCACTGGCACAAGGTCTTGCTCTCTCTCCAATAAATAAGAAATCTTTAAAAAAATTCCTGCATGTCCTTTACCCATTTCTTCAGCACCCCCCCACACACACACACAGTCACACCCCACCTTTGCAGATTCCCATCACTTAGAACTACACAGTCTTAGGTCATCTGGGTGACTTAGTCGTTTAAAGTCCAACTCTTGGTTTCAGCTCAGGTCATGATCTCAGGGTCCTAGGATGAAATCCCATTGTCTGCATTCGGTGTGGTCTGCTTGAGGATTCTCTCTCTCCCTCTCTCTCTGCCCCTCCCCCTGTGAGTGTGCATGTCCTCTCTTTTTCTCTCTAAGATAAATATATTTTCTAAAAACAGTAGAACTACACAGTCTTAGTTCTCTCAACTCTCCCTTCTCATTGGCCTTAGTGTAGGTTTCCTCTTCATGTCTCACATTCTGCTCTCCCTTTTCTGCCAGTTCAGTCTTCAGTGTTTTCTTGTGAAGTATAATCCAAATTGAACCTGCTTCTGGTACTTTGGGGACTTCATATCCTGTGACTTCCCTTTACACCCCCACCTTTTAGCCAAACATATGGATACATACCTGCCTTTTTTCCCTCTGCTTCCTAAATTACAGATTCCCCTTTCTCCTTCCCCGTCATTCATCCCAGAGCCAAAAATTGTCTTTTAAGGCTCAGCTCAGATACCTCCACCAGCTAGATAATTTCCCTCACATATAATTAAGATTTGCTTTCTTGTTGTATTTAATTATAGTGCAAAGAAGATTATAAATTCCTTCAGGGAAGAATCACTGTCTTATTTCTCTGTTATGTTTCTAGAAAGTACTTTATGCATAGCATTAAAGAAATTAATGAATGAATTTGCTAGCTATTCTTGCAACTGGCTTATTGTCATTCTTCAGTGTCAGCTCAAAGACACCTCTACGGAGAGTTTTCCTCTAGTCACCCTCTCTTCTGTAGCTACCTTCCCTCTCTCTTCATCATGTTATCCTGCTATCTTGTTTATTATTCCATTGTACTAATCACAGTAGGTTGTTCTTGTGTGTTTGTATTTGTGTGTGTGTGTGTTTACTTGTTCACCTTTCTCCACCAGGAATGTAAGTTGATATGGTTGGTAACTTTCTGAGCCTTCTTCTCTACTGTATATCTAAGCCCCAGACCAGCACATTGCTCTCAATAAATATTAATTGAATTTTTGCTCTAACCTACTATCAGCATCCTCATTTACCTGTTGGAGGCATTGTTTTTATTTAAAACCTTCCCTGCTCCCAAAGTGTGAAATAGAAGCTCTTCTATAAGTTGAGAGGAAAATAATTCTAATATTAAGATCATATAGGTCATCTAGACTAAAGTTCTCAATTTGTGTATATAGAAACTGACATGACACTGGGAGGGTTTAACTGCCAACATCAACATCAGGCTTCCAGGCTGCTCACCCAGTCCTTTGCCCACTCTGCCACCACGGGAATCTTACCATCTAAACCACAGGATGCCTTGGTCCTCCCTCTAATTTCCCAGTAAACTGTGCCTTAAATACTTTGGAAGAAGTGGTAGAG